AGCAGAGAGGTGGACCGGAAGAGGAACAGCCGGGACTGAACCGGTGCCCATATGGGATGCCGGCGCTTCAGGCCAGGGAGTTAACCTGCGCCACAGCGCGGGTCCCACATGTGTTATTTTAACAAATTCATGCAGCTGTATATCCTAAACACCTATCCGGAGAACATTGCTATCTCCCCGGAAATATCCATAGGCCTCCTCCCAGTTAGTGCTGGTCAGCACTCCACTTCACCCCTCATAGAGGTAAACATCCGTTGTATCCACCCTTTTTTTCCACATCATGTTTTTTTCCCCTCCTACTATGGATTATAAATGCATGCTTTGTGTATGACTTATTTCCCTCTGTCTTTGTTAGATTCATCTATATTGTGTATTACAAATTCATGTTTTTAATTACAGAGCCACATTTCATTACATTAATGTGCTACTGTTTGTTTATGTGCTTTTTTGTAAACTGAAACCAGATTGTTTCCACACAACTCAGGATATTTTGTATAGGTTTTCTGTATGTCAGTCTGTGTGCTCACATGTGTGTATGCACAAATGTTTTCATTTCTCATGAATGAATATCCAGGTGTAGAATTGGTGGGTAATGTGTCAGTATGTTTACCTTCACAGGAAGTTAGCAGATTTCCTTCTAGAAAAGCTTTCTTGATCTTACGTGGAGACCCACAGTTGGAAATGCCCTCTTTCTCCTGGTAAGGTTGTATTTAGATGTGATGCTTAGAATTTCTGCAACTCTAGGGACAGGGCAGGCACAAGCAAATGACCTAGGTCCTTAATCATACCGCTGGAGGCTGAAACAACCAATTCTGGGGCTGCCTTCCTTGCACTGTTAGTTATATGAGTTAATAACTTTCCTAATTTTTGCCAGCTTGTGTCACAGAGCTCCCATTTGCTGGTTCACTCTTCAAATGCCACCAACGGCTAAGAAGGACCAGGCCAAAGCTGGGAGGGAGCCAGGAACTCAATCCAGGTGGCCCATGTGGGTGGCAAGAACTCAATTACTTGAGCTATCACCACTCCCTCCTAAGATCTGCATCATCAGGCAGCTAGAATTGGGAGTCAGAGCTAGGATGCAAACCCAGGTACTCTGATAAGGGATGTGGGCTTCCTACACACTAGGCAAAATGCCATCCTTTTTACAGGATAAAACAGCTTTATAAACTGTACCAACATATTACATATAGCAAAGTACATATGTATATATATATGATATATGTGTTTATATATGTTTGTATGTGTGTATATATGTATATGTGTTATATACCTCATATATGTAGTAAAAACTACATATATCTGAGTAATGAGCTTCCTCATCAAGAATAACAGTAGCGGCCGGCGCCGCGGCTCACTAGGCTAATCCTCCGCCTTGCAATGCCGGCACACCGGGTTCTAGTCCCAGTCGGGGCGCCGGATTCTGTCCCGGTTGCCCCTCTTCCAGCCCAGCTCTCTGCTGTGGCCAGGGAAGTGCAGTGGAGGATGGCCCAAGTGCTTGGGCCCTGCACCCCATGGGAGACCAGGATAAGTACCTGGCTCCTGCCATCGGATCAGCGCAGTGTGCCGGACACAGCGCGCCAGCCGTAGCGGCCATTGGAGGGTGAACAACGGCAAAGTAAGACCTTTCTCTCTGTCTCTCTCACTGTCCACTCTGCCTGTCAAAAAAAAAAAAAAGGCATCATGAGAGTGGCCTTGAGGAAATGGGGCTATATCACACATCACCAAAATTAGAAGTGAAAAAATACAATTAGAAGTCTAGATGAGTTCATTCTTGACTTACAACAAATATTTAAAGAAGAAACTATACTGATTGTCTTTTTTTTTTGACAGGCAGAGTGGACAGTGAGAGAGAGAGACAGAGAGAAAGGTCTTCCTTTGCCGTTGGTTCACCCTCCAATGGCCTCCGCGGCCGGCGCACTGCGCTGATCCGATGGCAGGAGCCAGGAGCCAGGTGCTTTTCCTGGTCTCCCATGGGGTGCAGGGCCCAAGGACTTGGGCCATCCTCCACTGCACTTCCCTGGCCACAGCAGAGAGCTGGCCTGGAAGAGGGGCAACCGGGACAGAATCCGGCGCCCCAACCGGGACTAGAACCCGGTGTGCCAGCGCCGCTAGGCGGAGGATTAGCCTAGTGAGCCGCGTTGCCGGCCCTGATTGTCTAAAAAATGAAGTTAGGGCTGGCATTTTAGCACAGCAGGTGAGCCACTGTCTGGAATGCTGGCATCTCCTCTTGGAGCATCAGTTTGTGTATTTGGCTGCTCTGCTTCCCATCCAGCTCCCTGCTAATGTGCCTGGGAAAGCATCAGAATATGGCCAAAGTACTTGAGACCCTCCACCCACATAGGAGACCTGGATGGAACTTCAGGCTCCTGGATTTGGCCTGACCCAGCCTTGGCCATTGCCAAATACAAATCTGTTGGCTTTTGGGAAATACTTGTATCTATTATTGTCTTTACAGATACTAGGTCATTCTCAAACAATCTCAGGAAATTATTTTGATAAGATCTCAAGTTAAAGAATCTCTCCAGAATTGTTTTGCAGATATAACTAAGCCTTGATTGTCTTTATTTGAACTTACTTTTTCCATACTAATCCCCGGGTAGGAAAATGTCATCTCCATTCTCCCAGCTCTTGAGTCTAAGAAGCTTTGGAATCATTCTTGACTCCTATTTCTCACTCACATCCTTATCCCGTGGGAAATCCTGTTGTCTTTGCTTTCAAAACAGATCCACACTGTGACCAGTTCACATCATCCCTGCTTCCAGCCTCTGGTCTGAGTCTCTTGTTTGGATATTTCAGACGCCAGCAATTTCTTGACCACATAGCCTCCTGCTGCTTCCTTGCTCTCTCTGCTCAAGTCACCCTGGCCACATTTTCAAATTCCAAACCATCAGGCAGAGTCTTCTCTGGGGGAACTTTGTGCTTACTGCTCCCTTTTCCTGGAATGCCTTTTCTTCAGGCATAAGCATGACTTACAACTTCCTTTCCCCTTCCTTCAAATGTCTATTAAAATATCCTTATTAGGGAAGACCTCTCTGATTATGCTGTTTAAAACAACTTTCCTGCCTTTCATCTTGCTCTGTTCTTCTTGACACAAAGCTAAGAAAGGAAACTCTATTTTTTTTTTTTGGTCTTCCTCCATTTGTAACGGAAGTACCATGAAACGAAGGTCTTCATTGCTCTATCACCAGGGTCTTAAAAATGCCTGGCAAATAGTAGACATTTAGTAAATGCATGCATAAGTGCCAGATGGGATAAATACCACTTGACCATTACAGTCAAGATTCTGGTGTCCAGAGAGAGCAAAAACCATATAGAGAGCAGCACATTACCCCAGCCCCTGCTCATGTTCCCACCTTGGTCCTAGGTATGCCTCCAGTTACATAGATAGCATTCCCCAATCACCAGTCATTCATCAAAGGCCTGTTATGTAAGATGCTATAAAGAGACATAATGCAATAAAAGGAGCTTGGAGTTCAGATGGAATAGGGCAACTCTATTTAAAAATATTAATGTAAAACAGATTGATTAATTATGAGATGTGGTGTTAGAATGGTTAGGGAACCTCTCTTGGGTCCTAAAGGAGGGTGTTGATTATCTCTTGCTAGCAACAACTACTCCAAACATAGAGATGTGAAACAACAACCATTTTATCACCACGTACGACTTTGTAGGTCAGGAATTTCAAACAGAACTTGGCTGGGTGACACTTTTGTTCCATGTTGTGTTGATCGGGTTCACTCAATGGTATTTAGCTGGTGGATGGACTGGTTTGGAAGGTTGAATACTACTTCATTTACACATCTAGCATTTTTGTGGGGATGGCTAGAAGGATGGGTTAGGCTGGGACAGTGACCAAAGCATGTATATATGTGATCTGTTCTGTGTGACAGCTTCAGAATTCCCAGGCTTCTCACATGATTTCTCAGGGCTCCAAGAGTGAGTTTTCCAGGAAGCAAGGCAGGTGCTGCAAAACCTTATGACCCAGCCTCAGTAGTCACATTGCATCACCTTCTGCATTCTCTACTGGCAGTGACAATAAGTCACAAGCCCACCCAAATTAAAAAAAGACAAAGATCTCCACCCCTCAAAAGACAACGTGTCAAAAGGATTTTCCGCCATGTTTCCAAACTGCCTTGGCACTGAGGTTAGATTCAGCTAAGAGGCAAGTAGCTGGCAAAGTGTCTTGGTGGAGGGTAAAACTTTGAGCAGGGGTGCAGAAGAGTAGTGTACTTAAGAACTGTAAAGGGACCCATAAGACTGGAATGATATCATGACTAGGGGAAGGGCCAGAGGCAAATATAAAGCAGAGGTCTTACTCTAGGGACGGTGTGAATAGCTGGTTAAGAAATGTTGTTCTGCAGAGAAGTGGTCTTCAAATTGTTTTGCTAACAATCCCTAAGAGTTTTGAAAAAACACATTGTTAAGTTGTCATCCAAGTTTTCCCCTGTCATTTAAAAATAATGAAAAGGTTAGCAGTTCTCTTCCACAGGCTCTTTGCTTTTTGGTGGAGGCTTTTTCATTTCTTCCTCCCACAGCCTCAGGGGCATTGTGGATTTCCCCCTCCAAGTCTGTGCCTGGAACCTGCCAGTAATGGGATTGGTGCAGAGCACTTCTGCTCTCTTCCCATTGTTCGGATTTCAGTCACTTGGTTACCCTGACTGCAGATAGAGAAGGCCAGGAGGGAGAAGGAAGCGTAGATTTTGTTGCAGAATTAGCATTTCAGCACATTTGCTGGCATACAGTAAGCATTCGACATAATAGCTGCTGCTTTTGTTAGCACCATTATTATTATGACACAGATGGTTTTGCACCCCCTTTCCTGGAGCTTCTCCGCTCCCAAGGTAGGTGCACTTGAGGCAAAGGAGGCCCCAGAGCCTTGGAGCCCAATTAGTAGCTAATAAACCTCAGCTGGCAACCCTGGAGCTCCAGTCAGTGGGAAGAAGAGGGCACCTGTGCTAACTCCCTAACCTCCAGTTCCCACAGGGCTGCATGTCAATTTCATGCCTGCCTAAACAATTCATCTTTTTCCTAACCCTTGTACCACCCTGCGTGCCTTGCCCCCAACTACTACTTCCATTTGAATCCCATAGCATACTCTGTCATGGCCTGAATAAAATCGAGAACTTGCCCTAGGCTGAGAGGCAAGGTGTTGCCCCTTTAACTGCTATTTTAAATCACACACCAATCAAGCATAAGGAAAAGCAACACCACTTCTCCTGGGAAATTTTGTGCTCTGAGCCTTATGTGTGATGGCATGGATGGAGTGAAGTGGACCTTAGGGAACTGATCAAACAAGACACATTTTTGCCTCCTTTTTCCTGCCTTGGATACCTGCTAATGGAGGGCAAAAGGTCAGAAGAATGAACTTTTTTCCTAGGGACCAGGCAACTCCCAGGTAGATTAAAACAGAGGCAATCCTACAGGAAATTGATTTTTGGTTTTGTATTGGAAGAATACCAGGGAATATATAAGCACCATCTTACCTGCTTCCCTAAACTGCCACTGTAACTACATGAAATCAATTTCCTCCATCTGGTAGCAATCTCTCTAGAACAGTGGGAACATCTACTCTCTCAGAGCTGAACTCATTCATCCAGTATGGTGTTAACTTACCTATCTGTGCTGATTTGTCCTGTAAAGTCTCCTCTTTGTGATGTGTGGCTCATGTGGTAGAGAAAGAATTGAATCTTTTCCAAGTGAGAGAGGACAAGCAAGTCAGTCTGAGAAAATGAACGACCGCTTGCTTCCCAGGCTGTGTTTGTGCAGGGTGCAAAATGCAGAACTCCAGGTGTGACCTTCCAAGGGTGGTGCAAGGTTTCCTCCAGCAGCAGGCTCGGCAGGGGTGTGTCCTGCCTTGTGCATGAGTCAGCGTGCAAGTGGTTAAATTGGTGAGCCTTGGCTTTCCTGGCTAGAGCATCCAGCCTCCAAGAGTTAACCTGCAGCACTGCTCAGAAGAGCAGGGGCAGAGGATACACAAGCATCCTAGCACTCTGGCTTGCAGGGGAATGACATGCGGTTTTGAGCAAGCAGCAGCCGCAGCAGGTCTGGGTATGTAGCTTTGCTCTGATTGATAGTGTTTTGTTTTCTCCTGAGAGAACAAAGAGATGGTTGTTCATGTTTGCAAACAAGATCCCTTGGACACTGGGAAAGCCAGATGTTTTGTAGTCTGCTGTTTATCATGAAAATAAGTAATAGGGGTGCAGGGGAGTGGGGGAGCTCATTTGTGTTCTGATTGCAGTGGCAGATATTCTTTAATTCGATCTGAATTCCGGTGCTGTGTGGTCAGGTCGTTTGAATGTCATGGTTACAGTGGAATTCAGAAGATCTTTTTTGCTGTTCTTTCTATAAATCTTCATATCTACATTTAGAGTTATGGATTTGGTTTCAAGAGTTATTTATTGAATTGTGGTGTCAAGTGGCAGAAATCCCATTTTCTTACCCCATTTTGGAAGGCAAGATTCAAATCCTTAGACTTGGAGAGCAAACTTCTCGGAATTTACCATATGCCTGAGTGAGAGAGGCGTTATTTCGGATGTGGCCTTTTTCTTTCTCACAGCCTGACTACTTCAGTCTCGGTGTATGCAGTGTGGTGGGAAATAACCTTCAGAATCCCCGTGCTCTTAATGAGGCTCCTCGGTTGGATCACATGGCTTTCCCCACCTATTTGGATGCTTTTCTCTATCCTATCAAATGAAAAAATATCTAAGACCTGTAGTGAAACAGAACAAAGTACTTTCAAAAGACTTGAATTGCATGGAATTTCTAGGGATGTAGGGGCTTGAGTAAAGTTTGCTGGAACTCATTCTGTCTCCCTTCTGATGCTGCAGTATCAGGCACCAATTGATTACAGGACACTGATGACTTTTCCTGGAGTTAGTACCCCGTGCAGATGTAAAATAGGAGATGTTGCTTGTCAGGCATAGACCCTGCTCCACAAGTCACCGCTTCCTGGCACAGTAACCAAAACGGCTGTTAAAATGTCTTGAAGTCATCCAGAATGTTTCCTTTTCAATGCCAATAGATTCTCTTAGATTAGTTTGAATTTCCAACCAATTCTTGAATCTTTTGATAAGAAAGATTTTCTTTGAGAAAATGCAAATACTACCTCCAAACTAGGGCAGGTTATTGGTTGTAGGCACTCTCATAAAAATTAGCTTAATGTGTCTAAAATCTTTCTCCTTAAAGTCGTGGAAGGTTGTTAGGGTAAGGAAAAGGTGGTGAAAACTTGAAATTCAGAGCTTGGGGCCTGAAAAGGCTGAGGTCTGCTGAGCAAAAGACACTTGGATGGGTACCTTAGAAGCAGCCTTCCAGGCCAACTAGAGCAAACTGAGTCGGGGACAGCTGGAATGTGAGCCCTGGAGGATGGCCGCTGGGAGGTTAGAGCAGCATCTGGGAAGCACAGGTCTTGGTGATGGAAGCAAAGGGCTGAAGACTTCCAGGGGCACCCAGGCGTTGCTAACACCCGAGCAAATCCATGTCCAGCTCTTCAGCTTCCATTTGAACTCCTATCAGAACCTTATTTTATTTTATTTTATTTTATTTTTTGACAGGCAGAGTGGACAGTGAGAGAGAGAGAGAGAGAGAGAAAGGTCTTCCTTTTGCCGTTGGTTCACCCTCCAATGGCCGCCGCGGCTGGCGCTGCGGCCGGTGCATTGCGCTGATCCAAAGCCAGGAGCCAGGTGTTTCTCCTGGTCTTCCATGCAGGTGCAGGGCCCAAGGACTTGGGCCATCCTCCACTGCACTCCCGGGCCACAGCAGAGAGCTGGCCTGGAAGAGGGGCAACCGGGACAGAATCTGGCGCCCCGACCAGGACTAGAACCCTGTGTGCCGGCGCCACAAGGTGGAGGATTGGCCTATTGAGCCACGGCGCCGGCTCAGAACCTTATTTTATTTATTTTCACCTGAGAATTCATCTGGGGATTCTCCTGCTTGATTCAGAAAGCAAAGGAAACCTTCTCACACATCTGGAATCTCACTAAGGGGCATTGTGCCTTGGCATCACACAGAGGGGTAACTGCAGAATCCGACACTCTGGAGCGAGAGCCCTATAAGAGCCAAGCAAAGAGAAACAGACCATGTCTTATTTCATTTGGGTTTCCCACTGAGGCTGAAGTACTGTGTTTCTCCAACTGTCGTAGAATTACAGGAAGGAGTGAGAAGGTTGTCATGGGGGCAGGGAGGATGTAAGAATGTGTTCATTGGAAACAAGAAAGGAACTCAAATGTTTTCTAACAGCAGGCTGATTTGGCTGCTTGATTTGATGATGAAGTTGGTTTGGCTAATTAGGGTTTGTGGTGAATATTTTCTGTAAATTTAATAAGTTGATTCTGCTGTTCAAGGTTTTGGCCTGAATATATTTTAAAATGTGCATAATAACATAAAATTGGCATACTGATATATGAAAACTGAAGTATGCATATTATATATGTTAGCATACTGATATATTTGATAACATAGCTTTTTGCAACTACTACATACAAAAGAGTTTTAGATGTCATCTTTTAGAATGGGAGTGATGATATAAAATTATTTTAGAGGTCTTATGAGCAAAGACTTGTGAAGAACTCTGGCGTGCTCTGTCCTTGAGTGGAGATGAGCCTTAGCTCTGACCTCAAACTGACCAAGTTGACTCTTTGACTGGTGCCCCCTGCATCCTCCTAACTTTTCCCTCTTACTGCAGTTTCGTGGTTCAATCTCCACACCACTCCCTCTATGAACCGGCTGGTTGATTTCTTTGATGTGTTCAGTAATTGTCTAGCGATCTGAGGATAGGACATGCAACAGCAGAGCAGTGTTTTCTGAAGTAAAGGCTAAAGAGGAGGAGGGCTTATTCATTGCTGGGTTTATTAGACCTCTGTTGAATGCATATCACATGTCAGAGTGGATGATCACTGCAGGTGGAAACAAAGACGTGACTGAAATCCTATGTCTGCAACTAATTAGCTCTTTGGACTTCCTTGCTTCATTTAGAAAATTGGGATCCCAATCTCTGGGGTGGATCTGGGAACAGAGATGAATAAGATGGCATTGTGACACCAAATCATCCAATGGAAACACATACTCGTCAGGTAGTAAGTACTGGAATGGGAGAGTGTATAAAGTTTAAGAGGAAGAAATTGGCTAAGCAATCTGTCTGGAGGCATCGCCCTCCTAATATTTAACACCTTCTGAACATGGCAGCCCTACTGCATGCTTCTCCATGTGCCTTCCACAGTCCTGCAAAGTAGATACTTGGGAGGAGGTGAGGAAAGGCCAGCTCAACCCCATTGCTGCTGCTGATGGCAGACAGTTGCGCCACCTCAGTGGTTAAAGCAGAGATGCCCAGGACTGCCTCTCAAAGTCCTTCCACAATGCACCTTCCCAGAGCTCTTCTGCAGCGCGACTCAGTGAGTCTCTTCATTCTGCCCTCAGAGAAAGAAGTGCCCAGTTCTCCACAGAGACCAGGTCAAGTCGGTAATGGGTGAGAGAAGGGAAGGACAGAGACAAGCTCCAGTACGCACAGCGGGGTGGGGAGGAACCAGCCTCATCTGACCCGTCCCTCAGAGCAGGCACCGGGAGTTTGCTAGTTTCAGGTGCAGTGGGCACCTCACGGGATGTGAGGCTCAGGGGCTCATCCTTGAGACGAGGGAACTCTGACAGCTGGGCTCCCTGCAACACTCTTGGGCTGTGACTCAGTTGTGCTACGCAGCTATCTGCTTACTCAGCAGGAGAGGATTTGTCCCAAATTTCCCCTGAAAGGTGGGTTCCAGGAACAGCTGCATCTGTGATTCGGTGAGCCTTCTTCACACACCTCGACACTCATGGATTTGTCATCACTGTGTGACACTGAAGCCATAAGAGGGCAGTGCACCTAATGGCACGGGTGACCTTGAAGGAGAATTTTCTTGTCTTCTCAGGAGGGTCACATGAGCTTCTTGGGACTCTGCCAAGACGCCAGGTCCCTGAGGGCCTCAGAGAATCTCCTGGAACCATTTTCAATGTTGTTTTTATTGTGCCCCGCATTTCCTGATTGCTCTTCCGACTGGTGTGCTCTGGGAAGAGCACCTGCTGTAAAGAAAAACCTCAAAACATATTTATGATGCAAAACAAAGCAGTCTGCACTGACTGGGCATGGCTTCGGCAGCCACCTGGAGAATCCGGTCTTGTTTCCTGCCCCACGTGGACTCCCCAGCCCCAAGGGCAAGTCTGAGATTACAGTTGTTTGGGTGTAAGAGGTGGCTTGACAAAAACAATGGGATTTGACAGACAGCTTTATTGGCTCATTAGAGCTAATTGTGTGAAGATCTTTCCAACTTCACTCTCCCTGATTCCTTCGGTCCTTTTTGAAATCAGCAGAAGTGTTTATACCACAGAAATTGGCAAATGTGATGCCCCAGGACTTTTTTTTTTTTTTAATTTGCTAGATAGAGTTAGACAGTGAGAGAGAGACAGAGAAAGGTCTTCATTCCGTTGGTTCACCCCCCAAAATGGCCGCTACAGTCAGTGCTACGCCGATCTGAAGCCAGGAGCCAGGTGCTTCTTCTTGGTCTCCCATGCGGGTGCAGGGCCCAAGGACTTGGGCTATCCTCCACTGCACTCCTAGGCCACAGCAGAGAGATAGACTGGAAGAGGAGCAACCAGGACTAGAAACTGGTGGCCATATGGGATGCCGGTGCCGCAGGCGGAGGATTAACCAAGTGAGCCATGGTGCCGGCCGCCTGGAGAACCCATTTTTAAATTTTACAGCACTCTACTGCCAATACTTGTAGAAGATTCTTTGATAAAGAAATGATGTGCGATTTTAAGACAATAGGAAGGGAAACATGACCCAAGTAAAAGAATTACTTTGCATTGTTATGGAATATTATGATAGGCACAAGATTAATTTCTGCTTGGCAGTACATATCTAATAGTTTGAAAATGCAGAGTATTGGGGCGATGTCTCCCATCCCGGGCTGGCTGCTGCTTTTCTTAATGCTCAGACCTCTGAACTGTGCTAACTGGATCACCAAACTCCATCTCTGTGATGCTATATTAAAAAGAGGAAGAATTTATAAAGAAATTTTGGA